CACAGGGACTGCCTGCCTTTGGGACTCAGATGTGTTTCACAGGAAAGGGAATGTGAGCACTTGAGGAAGGTGCCTAACAGTTGTGACAGATCTTCTATTTTGCCTTTCCCAGTAAGTGAAACCCAGAGCAGACCTTCACATCTGTGTCTTCCCTGGGTGGCTGCATCCTCAGTGGAGCCAAATATCCCAACCCTTGCAAACAGGCCATGGCTGAGACAACAGCTTCCCATCCACAGCAGTGCTGACTGTGCTGGGACACATTCCCATTTCCCTACCACCCACTGAGCTGTAAAAGGAACTCAGTACCTATAGCTTTACAGCTCCTTGAGAGAAACCACCCCAAAAAGTTTTACTTTGAGCCCTCCTGTTGCTACACTTTTATTCCATTACAGCCCACTTGAAATATCCTGAGTCTGTTTTTACACTCATGATGATAAGACTTTGCATTTGTGCTACCAACAAACATCCTACCATCCTTTTGGGAGGCTGTGAGGGAGGGCACAGAGTTAAGTAGAAGAATCCATACTGGAGTAAGGATGGGGATACTGGATCTCCTGGTTCCTCTGCCTCACACATTCCTGAATCACCTGTTTTCCAAAAATATTTAAAATCTTCCTTGAGAAATGTGATCAGTACATTTTTAGTCTGGTTTTCTCTGGAAATGAGGTTCATGTAACAGCACCGGTTGCCAACCCAAGTAACCTTCAAATCAGCTAAGTGACTTTAGACAAATCTGAGAGGATTTACAGCCTCAGGGATGGTCCTTACATTCCTGCACTTTTTGGAAAGCAACAACTGAGCAGAGATCTTCAGGCTATCATGTCCACAGAGAGAGAATACTATTTACACTCTGCCCAACAGCACAAACATGTTTGCATGTGCATATAGATGTAATATTCAGACATAAATACATGTTTAGTGACAGACTGACCAGCACATGCACAGGTCTGGGTCAGCTGTTTCCTGCTGACTTTTCTCTTCTCCTTTAAATCTAAAAACTATGCATCATTCTATTTCAAATACAAGAATTTTCTTTTTCTAAAACTAAATAAAATATACTTTGCTTTTCCACTACTCTGCTGAGTTATTTTTATTTTATCTTATTTGATGAAAGGCTGCTTCCTATCAAACTTTACAGACTCTTTTGCCTGTAATAGATGGCTTTGTCACCTCCACCACTGGGTGCAGTGTGGCAGCTAAGTGCCACTGGATATGGTGTTTGAAGTTGTTATAATAAATAGCTTCAAATCTGGTCTGGATCAGAGAAAAAACTCTGAAGTAAAGAAAATAAAATTTCTCCTTTCTAGTTTCAGGAAGATCAAATGATAAAGCATTTGAAAACATCTTTTCTGCTTGGATCCCTGGCATTAAGAAAAAACACAACAGGAGAGCACAGTGAGGCAGATACAGAGGCGTTCCTCTGGAATAAGACTTGGGAACAGTGATGCTTCTCCACAGAAAACTACATCAAATATGAGCAATGGACACCCATGACTTGAGCAGGGCTATGAGGAAATGGAGATGTGTGGATTCTGATGGTTTTTACATTTCCTTTGTGTGCTCTGTCACCTTTCTGAGGAACAAAACAAACTGAATTTCCACAGAAACATCAATCCCTTTCTCTCTTCAAAGCCACACAAAAATGCTGTTAAAAAGGCAAGATATTTTTTTTTATTATTTTTTTTATGTGATAATGGGTGTTTGTCCAAAAGAAGAGTACTGAGCCTGCCAAACTACTTTTGAAAGGGAACCGTTATCTGTTGTTTGTCTGAACTTCTTTCACATGGAAAGCAGAGTTTCAGGGAAGAGGAAGGATGCACACCAGGATCTCTCATGCTGCTCTGGAGTAGGGGTGAAAGCAATGCACAAGCTAAAACCTGAAAAGAGCCTTCACAGCAACTTCCCCAGCCTCTGTTATACATGGTAATTGTTAATGGAAATACCACAGCAAGTTATTTCTTCTGTTTTTTCAATCTCGTTCTAACTCGTGTTTTGTATCCAATGTTTCAAATACAAGTGGATCATTCCTGTATAATGTGAAAAACAATGATTTTTATAAGGCTTGATTGGGTCAAAACTGCAAAACCACATGACACTTCCTGAGGCACATCTCAGTCAAACAGGACTTGGAAAAGTTCACATTCAGAAGACAAGGCAGGCTTCAAGCAAATGTCAAGATCATTACATGCCTAAAATACCTCAAGGACTGCCTCCAAAAGCCACCCAAAATCAGCAAGAAGTGTTTCTCTTATTTTGCTAATATTTTACTCAAAAAAACCCTTTCACAAGACAAAGTAGTCCACCAGCACTTGCCAACTAAAATGAATTACATTAAACTCAGACACCTTTAGGTTACTACAGTTTCTTTAAGAAAGAAAACGAACAGTGCTGAACCTGACAAACAATTAAAACCCACAGAATGTCCCATTTCACAAGAAGACTGAAGCTGTGCTGCAATTCCTTTCTCCCAGAGGTTAACAAGGCAAGTGCACCAGTTCTGCTGATCGGCACTTCTGCTGAGATAATCCCAGGTGCACCAACCTTCCCTCAGGACACAGAGCCAGATGTGTGGAGGACAAAGTTGGGCAAGCCTGACAATCTGTTAGGAGACACACCAGGTCTGTGGAGGAAACATTGGCTGCTACTTGTTTCATAGTATTGCAGCCCAAAGCTGCTTTGTGCAACTAAGAACCAAACCCTGTGAAACAGCAGTGAAACGGAATCCAGCAGGGAACTGGGTGGCAATCCAGTTTGGAAAAGGGAATACAGTAGTGTAAGAGAATTTCCAGGGATTTCCATTAATTTCCTTGGACTAACTGTCTGAAGAGTCATTACTTTAGTTTCCCCTGAATGCAAGAAATGGCAGTAAAATGGAATATGCTTGGGATTAGCTCACTGTGCTTAACAAGATGGGCAAAAACCCACAGCAGCACAGGTGACATCTGTGGGCTGACACCAGCTTTACACAGGGTTAAACACTGACTGTCCGGTGTGGCTGTTAGGGACAGTCAGGGAGCTAACCAGGAATAAATAAATCAGTTTTTAATAACAGCCTTGGTCCAGATTGACCAAGACTGCACCTATTCTTACACTAACCACCCTATTTTCTAGTTTGATGCTCAGTCTGGGCCTAGAGAAGAAGCTTTAAAGAGCATATATAAGTGTGCATCTTTAAATATCTGGCGCACCTTTAAAGGTCAGTCATCCTACAGATCTTTCTTAAAAACCTGTGCAGTAAAAATTCACTCTTTTCAGCATTTGAAATCTGTTAAAAATATTTTCCTGATCTTTTGATGCAGTACTTAGGTTCCACCTAGTGGCTTTCAACAGTCCTGAACAGCAAACTAGACAGGCATTTTATTGCCTAAATGCTTAATTCTCACATCTGCGTGGGTCTAGCTGCAGAAAGAATCTTAGAGTCTTCTTTAGATGTGGTTCTACAGTTTTGACCTAATCAATCCTCAGAAAAATCATTGCTCTTTAAATTCCACAGGAATGATTCACTTGTCTTTGAAACATTGTATACAAAACATGAGCTAGAACGAGATTTTAAAAATTGAAAGAAATAACCTGCTGTGGTATTTCCACTAAATTACCATTTATTCCAGAGGCTGGGGAAGTTGCTGTGAAGGCTGCATCAACTCCCTTCACAGCCAGCTGAGGAACAGGCACCTCTAGACCATGACTCAGATGACTTTTTGTAGAGTTTTACCTTCAGGTGAGATGAATTACATCCCAGAAGTGTCTCATTTCCTCGTTTTAATTTTTTAAAGAGAAGTCAAGGGGCTTACTGACAGTGTGGTACCACCACCACACCTCCTGAATCCCACCCAGGCTGTCTGACTAAGAAACACCCTGTGACACAGACCTTGAAATGCAGCCCACCTTGCAGGGAGCTCTCAGCAAGGCAGCAAAAGGCATCTGGAAGCAGGGTAATCACAACAGTTACAGATTTGACCTTAGTTTAAAAGCCCAATAGTGGCATAAAACTTATTTCAACACTGTTCTGCTCTCAGAATATATCTTACCCTGCCACTCAGCCATGTTAGGCTGATGAAGGCTTGTCTTATAACATGAAAAGTGTAAGACAGTTCTGCTCCTGCCTACCTGAAGGTCATAAAACAATCCATGCTTATACTTCAGTTCCCTGAGGCATTAGCAGAACACTCACTACAGACATTTTAGCCCTCTTTGGAAGACCTGTAGTCCCTCTAAAGAGTCACTATCTTCAAAGGAAACGGAAAAAAAAGTCATCCAAAGAAATGTGAAACTTCATGAATTTATCAGCTGCCACATTAGAGGTCAAAAGCAGATATTTCAAAGTAATTTTAGTGTCTTACATAAACAACTAGACAGAGTTCACCAGAACTGATCTAGTTTGTCCAGAGATCATATGCATTTAAAGAGAATGTGATATAAAACTAAAAGGAGAAAAAAAAAAAAAAAAGAGGAAGTTGACCTAGTTCATGATTTGTGGAGTGTGGGATGGATGAAAGGTCTTTAGCTCCTTAATGCAGCTTTTTCTGTCTATCCTCATTTCAAGGAGCTTTACTTTTGGTCACACACTGCTTGAGGCTTGCACCCAGCAAATCATGTCTGCTTTTCTAGAGCATGACTCTGGTACAGCAGAGCTGCTCAGATTTATTACTCCACAGCGGTGTCCCGCCACTTCCTCTGCACAGCTCACCTTCTCACCTTCACCTAAGCTTTCATGGAGCATGTGGCAGAGTGGTTCTTTCATGCAAAGGAAAGGAGAAAATCCTCAAATGCCTTCAAACTTCCACAGTAAAAATCAAGAAATGAAGGCTCCACACTGCCTGTCTTGCTGCTGGGTTCGTACCCCAGTCAAACGAGACATGTGGTTTATCTGCGAGAGTTAAACCAGTTTTTGTGCAACAGTGATTTCACAAAAGCTGAGGAGAATTACAACACTGTGCTAACATCTACTTAAAGCGGCTCTCTCCCCAGTCCGCACAAAAGCAGGTTCTGTGCAGCTTTACCTTCCAAAACCTTGACTCGGGCAGTGGCTGCTCCCTCCCTCACAGCGTGGGGGATGCCCAGGAGAACCGGGAATCCCTCCTGGGAGCAATCGTCCCCTCTGCCACCCAAACTCTCCTCTCCAAGGCACTTCCACCCGAATCCTTGGCAGGTGCGCTCTCCCCCTCATGAAGACGGGGAGGGGCCCCCGTCACCCTCAGGCAAGGCCGCGGGGGTGGGCCGGGAGCTGCATTCCCCCCCGCCAAGGGCAGCTTTTCCCGTGGAGGAGCTCCGGAGGCCCAGCTCAGCCCCAGGATGCCGCAGGTGCGGTGCCCACAGAGGAAGGCAGGGGCTGTCCGGCCTGCCTGGGGCGCTGAGGCGGGCACGGCCCGGGCGGAACGCAGAGGCCGCCCTGTACAGGGACAGGAGCCGTCGGCAGGGCTGGAAGTGATAGGTGGCTCCATAGCTCAGTGGTTAGAGCACTGGTCTTGTAAACCAGGGGTCGCGAGTTCGATCCTCGCTGGGGCCTCCCGAGCTTTTCCCGCTTTCTCTTAATTATTGCTTTTATTACTGTTTTTCCCCCAACCAGCCAAGGGGCTCCGGAACGAGCGGGCGGCGGGGGTGGCCGCCTTTTGCATCCCGGCGCGGCGCCTGCAGAGGGCGGCGGTGGGAGGCGAGCGGAGCCCCGGAGCCGCGAGCTGATGCCGTGGGCTCGGCTGCCCCCGGGGGCAGGAGCGCAAGGGCGGGCCCGGCTCCGCTTCCCGAATAAATCATTTCCCTGGATCTGAACGCCGAGGGTTGTTGCGGAGCCGCTTCCACCGCCTGGGATCTGGAATCGCACGATGGTTCCAGCCCACGGCTCGGCTCTAACGCGGGGCTTCTGTGAGGGATGCTTGGCTTCTGGTGCTTTGATTGTGTTGGTGTTTCAGATTTGCTGGACGTTTCCAGCCCTTGCTGGACCCTATGGAAGCTGCAGGTGATCCATACCTTGAAAAAATATAGCCAGAATAACTTAGGCTGGAAGAGACTTTAAAGATCATCCAGTTCCAACCCCATGCCGTGGGCAGGGACGCCTTCCACTAAACCAGGCTGCTAGAGCCCCATCCAAGCTGGCTTTGAGCACTTCCAAGGATGGGACATCCACGGCTTCTCTGGGCAACCTGTGCCAGTGCCTCACCACCCTCACAATGAAGAGTTCCTTCCTAATATTTGATCTAAACCTCCCCTCTGTCAGTTTGAAGCCATTCCCCTTGTCCTGTCATTACCTGCCCTTGTAAAAAGTCCTTCTCCAGCTTTCTTGTGGGTCTCCTTCAGGGAGAGACAAAAGACTGTTGTAAGATTTCCCTGGACCTGAACAACCCCAATTGTCTCACAGGAGATGTGCTTCAGCCCTCTGAGCATCTTAGTGGTCTTCCTTCAAAAAATAAAATCTAATTTCATTGCCTGAGAGACAACTACTCTTGGAACACACTTTTTCCTGCATTTCAGCCAAAGGAAAAAATAAAAAATAAAGATGGGGTAATTAACATGTCTATTCCATATTCTTCAGTAGAAGATTAAAGTCCTGGACTTTAGAGGCACTTGGATTTATTAGACAGTCATACACAACCAAATCTTACTAGAGAATGTCCATCACAGGCTCTCATGACCACTTAAGTCAGTAAAGGACATCACAGCAGGATTTGGAAGCTGGTGCTGTTAAAGTTTAATATGTTTAATAAAACATATGTAGAGACTGCTAACACTGCCATTAATAAGGGCACACCTGGGACCACTCCATAACAAGTCAGCCAAAATCTCTTGTATTTGGTTGCTATTCAACACTTGTTTCACCATTTTATAGGCTACTTGCTTTTCCTGGAACATCACTGAGCTTCAGAAACTGCTTCTTCCTTCTCCACTTTTCCCTTAGCTAGTGATGGTTTCTTCGGAAGAAACTCCTCAGTTCTGGTTAGGTGGGAGCTCTTCTTTTTTGGCAAAGGTGGTGCTGGTGCAGTTCTGGAATTGTGTCCAATCTTCTTTCCCTTGTGTGGTTTAGCCTCAGCTTTGACTCTCTGTCTCTCTTTACCAGATGCTTTACGCTTTGATTCTTTTATTTTGATGGATGGGGTCTTTTTTGCTTTCTTAGAAGAAACTCTTGGTGTGGCTGCAGTGAGGATAGAAGATATTTTTGGAGGCATGGTTGTTGAAGGTTCATTTAACAGCTCAAGGACAGTCTCTAAGGAAAGTAACTAACACGATTCAGCATTCCTGCTTTGAGGCAAAGGGCTAATTCAGAGATATGACTGATAGAAACACTTATTAGAGCTATAGTCAAAAAAACCAGATGAAATTATGAAAGAAGAAATGCACACTATAAACCTCTCTTCTTCCATCAGAAGAGCCTTGTTTTTCTTGGAAATAAAATTACTGATTTTAGAAAATATGGATGTGTATTTAAGAGAAATTACTTCCAGACAGAATGTGATGAAACCTTGCACACTTCTCTAGCAGACTTAACAATATTAATTGTTCATAATACACTAATATCTGGAAATCACAGACAAGATAATATCAACTTACTAAACACCGGTTTCTACTCAAGATGTAACTCCTGCCCCAGCTGCATGGGACTTTAAGACAGAACACAGCTTGGAAAAAGGAAGATTGACTCCACACAGATGCACAGAGAAGGCATTATTTGATTCAAGAAACTTGCCTCAGAGCCAGGGGGCAAGCCCTTAGAATTTCCCAGACCTCTTCCAATGCCTGAATCAAAGTCATCAGTTCCCTTGCAATGCCCATTTACACTATTACTTAGCAAAACTTAGGAAAAAGAAATAAATCATGGGTTTAAGCAAAGGCACAGCATCAAGCAGACAGCAGAAGCACACGTTAAACGTGATAACCAAATTTTAGGATTGCCCCTGCTCAGTGCTTTAATTGTTAAGGCTGCTGAAGGTTTCAATCACATGCCTCTAAGCTTATGTATGTTTTGTTTCTGATTAAAATCAAAGCCTGACAGCTTACTTGCACGTGGAACAAATGGTATCCGCTTGCTCTTTGTTTTCACTGGAACAGGCTTGTGTTTACACTTTCCTGGTGGAGCTCTCCTTGGAAAACAGAAAGCCACATGCAGACGTCTGAGAGATTTTTAGGGAAGTGTATTTATTCCATAGGCACACAGCAATTCCCTGCTCTCATTTGCCTCTGGTGGAAGAGGCATGAAAGCCCTTCAGGCACCTGGAGTGCAGCACAGATGGAATTCAAGAGGCAGACACAGGGATGGCAAGGCATAAAATCCCTGTCCCAGCAGCAAGTGGTGAATGTGACCTTTGCTGGGATTTCCTTTGGATACAATAGTTCTGCAGCAAGAGGGGTGAGAAAGAAAAGGAACATGCACAGAGGGAGGGAGCCACAACTGCAAAGAAATGTGTCTCTGCTCCTCTCCTGCTGTTCCCTGACAACTTCCCACAGGACAAAAGCACCAAAACAAAAACCAACCAAACACATTTTCCCTGAGGTAAAGATGTTGCACGTTAAGTGACAGGAAGAGAGGTAGAAAGGAGCACAACACACCTGTGTTCTCTGTTAGCCACCAAGGGAACTGCTGTAGAACAAACAAGAACAGGTTCTTCCAATCTGTCGTGCTTGACAGCACCAAACAAAGCAAAGCATGACCTAAGGCATCACATTCTCTTGTGATTAGCATTCTCCTTCAGACAGTGGCAAGAGCCAAGTGCTTCATCTACACCATTTCAATTTTTTGAAAAAGGTTACTAAAGCAGGGTTGCAGGCAATGCTGTGGGGGTTTCTAGTGGGGTTTTTCCTCTCCATCTCTCTTCTCTCCGGTTTTAAAATGACATTCTAACTCGTTTTCTCCCGTCTCGGGACAGAAGGAATTTGGTGCCACCCTGCTGTCTCCCGGAGTACTGCTGGAGAGGCAAGCCGAGGTGGGGACAAACGGCACTGCTTTCCTGGCAGGTTCTTCGGGAAGTTTGAATAGCCATCAGGCACATGAGAGTGGCCCTGGCAATGTTTTAGAAGCAGGAGTTTGTGTGGCTTGCTGTCCGTGCCAGCGCGCTTCCTGCGGTGCGGGGGCAGGAGGCAGGGATGCTGGATTCGCTGCCTGGGACTGCACCCAGGAGAGAAGCCAGCTATCCCCAGGAAAAATCCTATAAACAGCAGTACAACGCAAAGGAGAAAGGTTCATGAGGAGACCAGAGTCACCCCAGGAGCTGGAGGTGTCAGGAGTGCTCCAGAGCCTGCTCAGGCTCCCAGGAGCTCTGCACAGCCTGGGCACGCCTGCAAAGTGCAAACAGACCAGGGCAGAGCTGACACAGCCCTATCCGGGCTAAGGCTAACAAGGGGATCCGGAAAACGCAGGAAAGCATTCCTAAGAGCCAAGGGAGCAAGTGCCTGGTCCTGCTCTAGAAGTGATGGAGAGCTTCAAAAGCACAGGGTTTCCATGGCACATTAAGGAGTGGCATAGAGACAACAAAGATATATTTGCTTTGATAAATAGACTCTGCTCAAGCTCTTGAAGTTTATGCAAGCTCACAAATAGATACACATATTTATTTTAGCTGAAAATACTACATTTTGGTCAACCACAGTTAATGCACTTCCTCATAGATGAAAAACTGTTAAAGGCAGAAATCTCCTCAAGCAGTAAAAGATTCAAGTTCTGTTCCCATCGCTTTGGTACACAGCTTGAGTTAACTACCTAGCTTTGGATCTAACTTCTCAAGGAAACATAACTTGTTTTCTTCATTTTGCTGGTGTCCAAGGTCTCTGCAACAGCACAAACACATTTCTACTGTATCTACTTTACAGAGTGATTTGAAACTCATTTAATGTTTTTTAATAAAATCCAAAAGCTAGGGAGGCAAAAAAATTACATAAGTGTGCTTATTGTTGTAAAAACAGACTTTAGCAGGGATAACTGCTTAATGAGGAAACAACATTTTGCTTGGAAAAACTCAGGTTTGGGCTCCAGTTATTATTTGAGCACTGCATGAACCACCAGGTTTCTTTCATCTTTGTGAAGAAAACTGTGGAGTGGCATTTATTTTTTATTTATATTAAAGTGCATCATAGATATTTGATGTAATGACCTGAAAGGATATGGACCATCATTTTTAAAACATTTATTTGCTGTAATTCAGATATGGAAACTTTCTTTTAATCCTTAACTCTCCCAGATCTTCAAGGAATTTGAACTCTATTTCCTTTTTCTCTGTGCACAGATATGATGAGTGAGGAACAAATTCACTCAAACTGATTAAAGTTGTGCCAAAGGTACAGTGTGTAAACAAAACCCAAGGACTGGATGCAGATGTCAGTGTATCAGAAGTGCTTGGCATTCTTTTACTACAATAGCTGGGGAGTTTATGGTGATTACAGAAGAATTTGGCATGGAAATCCATCTTCAATTACAAACCTTGCAGGATCAATGAGCTTGTAGAGCAATCCATGTGGTGCACAGGCACTGGGATAAGAAGTAGACATAAAATACAGTTCACCTAAATGGAAATGAAAAAAGAATCTGTAGATGCTGAAGATGTACATTGATTAAATACACAGGCTAAATTAATCTGATATATGCACAGTATTACTGAAACACACTTTTCATGCCAGCACCCCAAAACAATCTATCCAGATCTTTTTTTGGCACAGATAGAAGAGGGTAAGTACATGCAGAGTCCAGGAAAGAACTACTACATTAGTAACTTTTCTGCCTCATTAAATAAGTTTGCTTCATAAAACAGAATTAATTTTAAAATCTGGGCAGTTATACAAGCATTGATTTTTTTGTTTTGTTTTGGTTTGTTTTGTTTTGGTTTTTTGTGCAAGTAGCAGCCTTTCCAGGATATTTAACATGAAGACTCTGATTCCAAACTTCACAAGCAGGTTGTTCTCTTTGCTCACAGCAATACCCAGGGGCTTTTCACCATACTAAGAACAGGTATGACTTGTGAGTAGTAAAGCCCTTGCAGCTTTTGGATGGGGCAGGGGGTTTCTCACTTTTCATTGCTGCCATTTGGTTAACAGAGAGCAGCACAGAATGTCCTGGTTTCTGTTGCTTCCACATCACATCTGTGAGGAACATCTCCCTCTTCCCAAATTGAAAGTCTCCAGCCTTGCAAAGGGGAGCCAAGTCCCCCAACCCTGTCCTTGCAGTCTGACCCCAGTCCCAGCTGGCAGAACCACACCATTCCTCCCATGTTTAACATCTTCCCAGAATGAGGAAGGGCACCACCAGGCCCTGAGAGCCATCCCCAAAAGTCAACACTTCAGCAGAATGTCCTTGTCTTTTTGCTCTCTCAGTCCTCTTCTGAAGTGAGTACTTCATTAGCACCCTTGAGAATATTTTTAATTTTGCTCAAGTAAGTGTTAACAGTCCAGTTCCTGGACCAGCAACCTGAGAAGGTAAAAAGAGAAAACCAACTTCCTCTGAAACAAGGCATATTGTCAGTGCCTCTGAGCTTCCTAAGCTCTGTTCTGCTAACAGGCTGCAGCAGAAAGGTCTTCTACAGTTCACCCTCCTAAAAGAGGAGCAGCATCCCTGGGCAGCTGCCATGCTTTTCCAGCCATGGGACTTCCCACACAGTGTTTCCCTGGCAAAACAACACCTGCAGCACATGGACCCAGCAAGGCACACAAGAGGGAGGCCGTTCCTCAAGGTCTACATGAACTCCCAGGATTAGGTGGCCTTGCAGTCACTGTTGGTTGTCTGCATTCAAGCATGCAGGAAAATTAATCTCATCACTTTATAAAACCAACAAACCAGAAATTGCTAAGATCACATTGATATTTCTGTTACTTTCTCTCAAGAGTGTGCATTCAGCAATAAAACCAAACCTCAGATTAAAACTGCTTTTAAAATTCTGGTGCTCTCCCTGCACTAGCTCCCGTCCTATGGCTTTCAATCAGCTCGAACAAGGCTTAATTGGGCTTGTTTGATTTTTTTTAAACTCCTCCTGTAGCAGTTTTCTTAATAGGGAAGCATCCTTTCAGCCATCAGCCAAACAGCTGCTCTACCACATGTAGCAAGGTTTGCATCCAGGGAAATTTTCTAGCCATGCAACTTGCACTACACCTCTATAAGAATATTACAGTTTTCAGAGTTTCATACTAAGTTTTAAAGATAAATCCTAGAATAACTCAGCTGAGGGTCAGACTCTAAACCTCTAAAAGCTCAGGATATATTAACTACAAGAGTTTTGCTTGGTTTTAGAAGGACTGAGTGTGTCTTTTGGCTGCTTTGTGTTTTGGCATGCAGTGGGTGCAGTTTGGCATGACTAACAGTTGCTAAAAAGGCAGGAGGGTCCTGCCCTCTGATTCCCGGGGTTCAGGGGTGCTCAGGCAGAACAGTGCCTTTGGTCTTTCTTCCCTGCACACTTTCCATGAGCCAGGTGGGCAGTGGGGAGATAGCACTGATGAAAACACTGTGCCTGCCGCCTTGGGACCTTGTAGCAGCTGTGTGAAAGCACTTCCTCTGAAATTTTGTTTTACTTTGACAAGCACAGCATTTGGAGCATCCTCAGCAGGAACACAACCAAAAAACATCCTCCCTGCAGTCCAGAGATCTGAACACTCTGCCTGTAATTCCTCTATAATTTGTTGCTGTAGAATTTATAATCCAGCACCTTGCAGCTGCAAGTAGGAGGTAAATACTGATCTGTAATTTTCTCTTTCATTATGGGAAAATCATCATCCTCACTGGGTAATGTTTCCATAAACCCTTATTGCTAGCAACTGTCACTATATATTCCCAGATTTCAGTGATGCACCTTAAACAAAGCACTTTGCAAAATGCCTGCTGAGAATTAAGTGCCATTCCCCTGCCAGCCCACCCTTCCCCTGCTCCCACACCTCCCTTCACAGCAGCACAGCAGTCAGAACCACAACTGACCCCCCAAGTCATCCCAAAGTGTAGGATACAGATATTATTTTTCTTCCTACCTGACACAGGATACATGTTTGATGCATGTTCCACGTAGTTTATTCCCCTGGGGATCCATGTAATCCATGATGTCCCAGTATTTTACTGCAATGCTGTTGTCTCTCTCCTGGTCACAGCAGCCTAAGTTTTCATAGGGAGAGCACAACTCCAAGGGCAAAGGGGGCTGGAAAGGTGGTCCATAGTCCAGACACTGAGGGTGTCCCAGCAGAGTGACTGTCAGGCACAGCAAGGAGAGGCAAACACACACATGTGGGCAAAGAAAAGAAACTCCAGAGCTGCTGCTGCTCTTTCCAGCCTATGGCCAAGCATTCACTTCCTTCAGCATAGGCTTCTTGAGATCAGATGTATAAAAATCCTGGACTTCTTTGTAGCAGAATTTCATTTATCTTCATTTATCTTCGTTCATTTATCTTCTCTGTTTTATTAATTGCCTGTCCCAGAGCTCAGCATTCCCTGAGGTTTGCTTACACCCCCTCTTCCTTTTTCTCTGAAGTTTACTATTTGGCAGCAGAGACACCCTCCAGGCTGCCTCTTTGGTATTCCACACATCACAGGGCTGATCCCTCCTCTCTGGACATTTCTCCTGCCTCTAGAAGCACCCACAAATCTAACCCAAACATTTTAGCTTAAATTGGCTGAGAAATCTTGCACCCGGAAATACGAATAATAAAAATATGAGATGTGATACCTATATACAGAACTTGATAATCTGTACAAGACACAAGTGAACAATTTTCAGTTCCTGTCATTTTTCTCAGCTTTTGAAATGCACCAACCTTGGGTGTGGTTTCATGAAAACTGAACAGGGGTTATAAAATACAATCAAGGCAGCAATTAACCATAGGAACAAGTGACTTCAGAGATGTTGCAGTTACCCATAAATTCAGGTATACATTCAGGGTTAAAATGAGAAGGAATTCAGGAGTGATGGAGGAAAAATTCATTTAAGGCACCAGCACAACCTCAAGTTGACTGTGATATTCTGCAGTAATCCTGTACTCAAGCCAATCAATTTTTGTGGGTTTGATCCCACTTGATATTAAACTAATTTAAAATGCATGAGACCTTTGCATACTTTCCCCTCTGGTAAGTAATGCTTGAGGCAAGCCCTTCCCATCAGCTAGGGATGCAGGTGTTTGTACACATTGTTCTCAGCCTGTGCTGGAGGCCAACACTTCCCTAAATTTGCTCTTCCATAACTAGGATGAGATAACTGATCACAGCCACGTGGACAGGGAGCTATTTCTTTCATGCATGATTAAAAAAAAATTCCCCACAGAAGCTTTGCCCACAAGATGGGGAGGAAAAATGATAGGAGAACCAAATCTAGAGCACAGAATTCAAAGATGACCATTCCAACTCATTAAGAGTTGTCACATTCGAAGTACAATGCACAGGCTTGAAAACACAGTGCACACAGAGTGATTTGACCCGAAGTTTCAGTCTGGATTTGTGATCCGCTGGTTTGTCTCAGGTGCAAGTACTGTGGTGTCAGGAAACAGCAAGTTTTTTTCAGGACATAGAGTAATGTGTGGGACAGTTACACAAAAGCTGTGACTGTGCTCTTGTACTTGCTGACTGCAGCATGATAGTTCTAGCACTTGGAGAGGACATGATCCCCCACAACAATCCTGTTTCCAGAGGTCACAGGAGAAAGCTGGAAGCACCACCATGGATTAGCAGATTTTTCAGACATCAAGCTCCTCTTTATCCTCTCGCTCTCCTTATCTCCATCCCAAACTCTGATGCTTTGTTTCACATTCCTTCCTCAGTAGAGTGTCAGCAGCTGCAAGGCACACACATCTTCCACAGGAAGCTGTGGGGACAACAGGAAATTTCATGGGAACTCTCACCAAGCACCAGGGCTTCAAGCATTCAGCTTTTATACTACTTGTGTTGGGTTAATGATGAAAGCTCCTGTGCATACCCACAAAGGAACACAGGCAGACAATGGAAGGGGGAAGCCCAAGTCACAATCTGCTGTGATGCTCTCAGGGTCATCACAGGAGTCACCAGCCCATCAAAGTCCATCTTTGCAAGTCCAGGGAAGCAGAGGGGCACAATGGCAGGCAAGAAGCCAAATTAAATTCTCCAGGGAAGGGACACCTGGTTGCCTGCCAGGGCTGTCCCAGGACAGCTTTAGGCCCATGTCCAGGCATAAAACCCCAGTGAGATGGACACTGAGAGAAAATTTGGATCATCTCTCTCACCTGAGGAGGGGTAGCTTCCCAGGGCTGGGGGACACCTCATGGGATGCTGGGGAAGAACGTTTTGAAGCTTCACAATCTAAATTAAAGTAGCCAAATCCAGTTGAAGATCTCCAACACAACCCCCTGACTATTACACAATGAGGCAGCAGCATTCTTAGGGAATCAGAAGTAAACAAGTACTAGGGTTAGGAATGATGAGTAATTACCCAAGCAAACATAATTACAGCAAGTATTTCTTAATGTTAATTAAATTAATGTTTAACTAATTAAACTTAATGTTTAAGACACATTGTCTTAAGGCACTTCTCACAAGACCCATGTGAACCCAGACCAAAATCTCAGATAAACACTGAGTTTTTAAAAGCACAGCTGTACTTATCCATAACCTACTCTGCTGCTAAAGACATCTTTGTTTCAATCCCAGAGGGAGGTTCAAGCACTTCACCCTCCAGAATTCTACAGATCTGGCATTAAAACAGAAGTAGTATGTGGAAACCATTTTGTCGTTGTTTTCAAGCAAACTGGAATTCTGGTTTGTGATAACACATCAACGTTTGCTTTCCAAACACAGCAACACTGCATATTTCAATTCATGGGCATGACTGCAAAAAAAAGTCTCTTCCAGCATGTAGAGAATTTCTCAGTATTTCTGTGCCTCTGCTCTTTCAAGATGTATTTGAAATCAACACTGTTTGCATTTCACACAAATATAAGAATAACATTACATAAATTCTTTCACATTATCAGTTGATTTATATTCATTTTATTATAAAATAAATTAAAAAACAAAGTTTTTTTTACATAAATATACATTAAAAAAGTCTAGTACTGAGTCAATAGGGTCTGCCTAGAAGTTCTGGAGTAGCACCAACACAGAAGTCAATTTTACAGAGGAAAATTTTACAGAGAGGAAAAAGTACACCAAGAACCTTAAGGACATCTTCTCATCAAGGCTGAACAGAGGAATCTGGAGGACCAGATATTCTCAGGTAGACAGGATTGTGCCTGTTCACAAACTTCTTCAGCATCCGAAACCTTTTCAGCTGAGCTTTGCAGCCTTGGTGTGACACATATTTAAAGTATTTGCAATCTAAGGAAAGAGAAACAACCAACACTAAGTTATACCATGATACAAGCAAATACAAAATGTTTTCATTGTTTAAATATTATGCAGACAGCTAAGAAACTTTTCAGTAATTAAAGGTATTAAAATCCAAGACATGCTCATTAGAGACAGAATTGCAGCATTAAATAATCTATCCTCACTTAGCCCAGTAAACATCCTACATGTATCTAAATGTCTGTTATCTTGCAAAATATTTTTTTCTCTTTCATTTTTGGTCTGCAAATTAGATCAGAAATTAAAATTTTGGGAGTAAAAACCATTTGGGAGTAAAGCAATATTGATATCACATATTAATTTATTATGCTGGATAAGGAAAATAGAGGCTCACATTGAAACAAGTACTGAAATTTCATTCAGGAAAATCTGAACTTGGAATGATTTTATTAGCCATCTGGAAATACAGGGAGATAGCTAATACTACTGAAAGCAAAACAAAACATATCCAAAGAGTTTCCAATATGAAAAATTGTTCTATGAAGTGCAGAAGAAAAAGGTATAGAAAAGGTGACAATGAATGTCCTCGTTTTGCCTATCAACCAAAAATCCATACCACTGTATAAGCCATTGTCTCCAGACCATATTTCCATTCTAAATTTAGCAGCTGATTCTTGGCCTGACCCTTCCCTTGGTTTTGGCAGCATTTCAAATAATACTACTAAAGAGGTAATGATCTTCACCTTCTTACCAAACTGCTGATGGTTTTCATTCAAGACTCTCCCTTCTCCTTCCTACATTACAACATCCCCATGGTCCTTAATGACCAGCTGACCCCCAGTATTGCTGAGACACTGCCTAGGCTGGCATCCAGCAAGCAAACTCCCTGCAGTCCTCACAATATTCCATCAGGAGGGTGTTGTACATTTTTGGAGTTACGGTTTGAAGGTCAAACAAGACAAATAGTATTGTGGCAGCTCAACAAGGCCAGATAAAACTGAATCCTAAACCACGATAAAACTAGTTCCCCACTGTTAAAAATCAAACCAATTTAAATACCTTCCTTGTTCAGCTCCAAACACAGGAGTCTTTTTTAGAAGAAACTGCATTTCATCCAGGCAGCAGATCAGCTGCAACCCATGTCATTAGGTCTAGAACTAGATGTTATTTTTGTTCTATGTAGTGAAAAAAAAATTATACCCTTTCCAAGTAGGACTCCAGCCACCAGAGCTTTTTCATATGAAAGGCTTTTATTTTCCTGCCAATTCCTTTTTGCCAAGTAACGGCTAAAATGGAAGGCTGGCCACCAGTCCTTCCTGGAGCTCCACTCTTGCTTGATCCAGTCAAGATGTTTCCCAGAGCTGGAAAAAGGTTAAACAAGTTACAGAAAAGGTTAAATTGTGATAGCAAGATTATTAGGAGACAGTGAATGTTATAATCAGCTTGCTACAAATCTCATAAATTGCCAGCACAGACATACTGACTTCATACCAAAACACTAATAACCAACATTTTTATATAAAACTAATGTTTTATTTTTTAATTCTAGGTAACACTTGTGAGGCTGGAAGTGAACTCCAGCAATCTTACTAAGCCTTGGCAATAGCACTGATTATGATGTGAAATGAAGCAAGCCTTTCACTTGTGTGCCAGTTTGTCAATAGTAATATAGAAGTTTCTCCAGGTTTGTCAACAAATGAGTAGTATGAAGGGGTTGCTCTGTCCTTAGGAAAGGTTTGTGTTACTCCAGGCATACTTAAAGACTAACTTATCCCAAACAGTTATTACTGTTAGGCAACAATGCCCCTAAACCAAGCATTTCAGCAACACAAACTCCTTCCAGCCCCTCAAGGGAATCTACAGGAAACATGAAGAGGGAGTTTTTCCAAGTGCAGGCAGAGATAGGACAAGGAGGAATGGCTTTAAACTAGCAAGGGTCAGGTTTAGATTAGATATTAGGAAGAAATTCTTCACTCTGATGGCGAGGTCCTGGGTCTGTTTTGCCCGATATAGTATTTGGTGAGTGGTCTCTCCCTGTCCTTCTCTCAACCTGTGAACTCTTTGTTATATTTTCTCTCCCCATCCAGTTGCTGAGGGAACAGATAGAACAACTTTGGTGGGTACCTGGCATCCAGTCGAGGTGTCCCTGCCCATGGCAGTGGGGCTTGAACAAGATGATCTTTAAGGTCCCTTCCTACCCAAACTGTTCTAGGACTCTATAAAGTATCTGCAACAGGGAAGTGACATTCCCATACAGTGACCAAGATGCCCAGTACATTTCAAGATACTCTGAAGTTGTGTATGAAAGGCAAAAATGAAGACAGAGCACAGAGGGTCACTGTGTAGACTGACAGAAGGTAGAGACTTCACACATTTGTTTCAACACCCTGTATCAGAACTACTTACATTACAATTTGTTTCACCTGTCTTGCCAAACAGCTCCATGCTTTTGCATTTTCCTTCCAGCCAGCATAATCCAAGGCTGCAAAAATAACTTCTAGGCCCATTCGACGTTTTTTTCTCTTCTCTGCAAAAAGATGAGGCTGATTAATGAATTACACAGATCAGGATGAACTGCTTAGTAAGGTATGAGTGAAATACAGTTCTCCATTCTGGCCCACCCAAATGCTGCTACTTTAAATGTAAGTTATGTTTATTGGCATAAATTTCTTTAAGAACAGAAGATTGTTCTCATTAGTTATGAAAAGTTGGCAAATGAGTCACACATGAACTGAAAAAGGAGGTGTCAGGCAAAAGGTTTCATCCCTCCCAAAGAAGAATCATAGAATGCTTTGGCTTGGAGAAGACCTTAAAAATCATCAAGTTCCAACCCCTTGCCATAGGCAAGGACACCTTCCACTAGACCAGGTTGCTCAGAGCCCCATCCATTCTGGCCTTGAACACTTCCAGGGATGGGGCATCCACAGCTTCTCTGGGCAACCTGAGCCAGTGCTTCCCCACCCTGACAATCAAGACCTTCTTCCCAAAATCTCTTCTAAACCTCCCCCTGTCAGTTTCAAGTCATTAACCCTCATCATTTCAGAAGAGAGAACAATCTTTACTGATGTACATTTCACCAATCTGTTGACCTGCTGGGACATGCCAAGCCACAAGAAGACAGACAGCTTGGCATACAATTGATCAGAATGAAAAAATAGTCTTCAAATTGGAAGACTTTTCTACCAGCTTGAAGATAATGCTTCCTGAAAGAGAAGGAACATTTTGTTTGATCAGTAACAATGAACTAAAGAATAGAACTATTCCAAGAAAAAAAAATAAATAAAAGAGATCCCAAAAATGGAACGAAGACCTTGGAATTCAGAGTAGGATGCCTAAAAAAAATTATTTTTGAGATGCTGCCTGTGCCTTACAAGTTTTCTTTGTTCAGCCTTTAAAATGAGAAAGGCATTTGTTTACACAAGTTTGTAAATGACTGCTCATACATCCAGCTAAGAGGTTATGGTAATTGGAAAGCTGGGATTTGAGTTGGTTTTTTGGCATTATTTCTTATGAAACAAAACTACTTTCAAAAGCAGAAAGAAAGCTGTAGGATAATCCAGAATAGTTTTCTGAAATTAGCATAAATGAAATGAACAAAGGTAAAGACTTACTTGATTTCTGAAGCATGGTATTAAAATCTATCATTAGTTCATGAGAAGGAACAATATCATGCAAGATCTGAAAAATAAATGACAAAACCCAGATAAGTTATTGTGAAAGCTCTTGAAGACTTCTACTTGACCAAGAAAAGCACAGGCTTCAGAGCTTTGGGTGCTTTTAGTTCAGA